TATTCTCATCATCTTCTTCGAATGCGCCGACACCAAATGCCTAGAAAAGCAAAGTCGAGCATAAAACTCCTCTACTAAATTTATTTAACCAAATTCCAACCTGCCCCTTAATTCCTTTGCTTTTAGCATGCGCTTTGAAAGCTGATGCTATTCTTCCATAGCGTTCATCAAGGACAGAAGAAGCACTCATGGCCTCGTAACCCAAGCCATGGATCGTTTCAACGGATTTTAGACGGGTCATTAAGACATCCTCAGTTCCAGCATCAAAACCTCCGGGTGCTGCGGCTTTGATTTGCTCGGAATCAAAATCGCTGACTGAAAACAATAGTACTAATGTTAAAAGCCATAAGCAGCTGAAAGTTCAAGAATAAGACAAAAAGAATACTTTATGTCGTCTTTGATTTTGGCATTTTCAAATCATATTATATGCTCATAGGCTCACAATTATATGATACTTGAGGACCTATCTTCAAAGCGATATAAAAGACAATAATAAATTACTTCGATTCAAAAAATTTTTAACCATAACTTCTCCTTCTCACAGAAGAAAATGTAATTATGTTATTTGGAGTGAAATATCAATTATTCCAAAACAAAAACTCATGTTCAAAATGGTACCTTGTTTCTTCGACTTTGATGTCATCAAACCAACTCCTCGCCCTTCACGCCAGCCCATTGCTCTTAACATGCGTTTCCCAATGGAGTCACTTAAAAAAAGAACTTCTTGAGGTTGCTGTAGTCTAATCAAAATTACGTACCTAACGGGTCTAATCACATTCTCCAAGTGTTGGGCTATCGAGGCTCCAGTACTAGTTACGTCATGTTCCCAAGCCATTCGCTTCTCTGCCGACTTTCCTGACGAGAACTTCTCAGCTGTTCGGATTCTTCTTGCCCCAATCCCGAACTCTCCAAGATCCTGTGTTAAAAAAAACCTACTAGTTACAATGACTTTCTTTTGACAAAGCAAATTACTTTTACTACAAAGGTCTAAAAGAGTAACCTTGGCAAATGAAGAAAAAGAAGAAAGTGAGAAACAGTAAAATTAAAAGTATGATATTGTAAGAGTAAATAGTCACCTCTTCATCCATAAGATCTTCGGCCCTCTGCTGAATTGTAGCTGCACGTTGATCTCTGGATGATTTGAACTCTTGCGGTGTCCATCCTGAAAGCATTTATTTCGTTTGCAATAGGAATGAGGAAGGGGAGCGGAAAGATGTTTACCTTCTTTGCTACCGACAGTGTTGTAGTAACCAGCTGAGAAACCTCCAGTAAAGGCACCGTGAAATCTGCAAACCACGAAATAGTAGAAGCTGAGGAGGGTACTTTCATGATACGGTTTAATCACTCACCTACGTCGTCCATTTTCATCAGTCACAATCTGATCTTGTATACCAGCTGGCTTCCTTGATATAGATCCTTCTAAAAAA